TTCTTTGTCTCTTATAACAGCCTGTAGAGTCTGTTTTGTCTGATATAGTATTACTACTGCAGCTTTCTTTTGATTTCCATTTGCATGGAATACCTCTTTCCATTCTCTCACTTTCAGTGTGTGATTGTTTTAAGTTGTTGGTCTTTTAATTCCAAATGCATTTCCAATATCCTGCATTTGGACTCTCCTCACAATTTTTCATTTTGATATCATATTTGTGTGTGGATTATTTCCTGCTTTTACTTTATGTTTATCTCTGTGTATGTACTCAGTTGATCGGTCATGTCCTACTCCTTGTGATCCCATGGACTGTAGCCCTCCAGGCTCTTTTGCCCATGGTATTTTCCAGGCAAGAATACTCGAATGGAGTGCCATTTCCTACTCCAGAGCATCTTCCCGACCCAGGGGTTTAACCCACCTCTCTTGTGTCTCCTGAATTGGCAGGTGGATTCTTTACCACTAGCGCCACCTGGGAAGCCCCAGTTTTATCTTTACTGGTGAGCTCTCCCATTCATAAGTTTCTTGTTTTTAGTTGTTTTTGATTAGGTTGTTTGCTGTTTGATATTAGGGTACATGAGCTATTTGTATATTTTAGAGATTAATCCCTGTCAGTCACATCGTTTGCAAATATTTTCTCCCATTCAGTGGGTTGTCTTTTCATTTTGTTTCTGGTTTTCCTCTAGAGAAGTTCTTTTAGCATTTACTGTGAATGCTGGCTTGGCAGTGCTGAATTTTCTTTGCTTTGTCTATAAAGCTTTTGATTTCTCTTGAATTTGAATGAAAGCCTTGCTGGGTAGAATATTCTGGGTAAAGTATCCTTGGTTGTATGTTTTTCCCTTTCTTCACCTTAAATATTTCATGTTACTTTGTGCTGGCCTGCAGAGTTTCTGCTGAAAAATCATCTGGTAATCTCATGGGGGTTCCCTTGTATGTTATTTGTTATTTTTCTATTGTGGATTTTAATATTTTCTGTTTATAATTTTTTCAATTTAATTAATATGTGTCTCAGAAATATGGATCAATAGAACAGGAGAGAAAGTCCATAAATGAACTGGCACACCTATGGTCAATTAATGTACAACACAGGAGACAAGAATATACAATGGAGAAAAGACAGAATCTTCAATAAGTAGTGCTGGGAGAACTGGACAGCTACATATAAAAGAATGAAATTAGAACATTCTCTAACACCATACACAAAAATAAACTCAAAATGTAAGACCAATACTATAAAACTCTTAAAGGAAAATGTAGCCAGAACATTCTTTGACATAAATTACAGCAATATCTTTTTTGACTTGATCTACCTCCTACAGCAATGAATATTAAAAACAAAAATAAACAACGGGACCTACATAAACCTAAAAACTTTTGCACAGCAAAGGAAACCATAAACAAAATGAAAAGACAACCCACTGAATGGGAGAAAATATTTGCAAACGATGTGACTGACAGGGATTAATCTCTAAAATATACAAATAGCTCATGTACCTTAATATAAAAAAGCAAACAACCTAATCAAAAAATGAGTAGAAGAGCTAAACAGACGTTTCTCCAAAGAAAACATACAGATAGACAAAAATGCAAATCAAAACAAGGAGGTACATCACCTCACACCAGTCAGAATGACCATCATCAAAAAGAAATAAATGCTGGGGAGGGTGTAGAGAAAAAGAGAACCCTCCTACATTGGTGGTAGCACTGTAAACTGGTATAGCCACCATGGGAATAGTATGAAAGTTCCTTAAAAAACTAAAAATAGAACTATCATATGATCCAGGAATCCCACTCATGGGCATATAACTATCCAGAGAAAACCATAATTCAAAAAGATACATTCATCCTAATGTACACTGCAGCACTATTTATTAACAATAGCCAAGACATGGAAGCAACCTAAATATCCAGTGAGAGAGGAATGGATAAAGATGTGGTACTATATATAATGGAATATTACTTATCCACACTAAAGAATGAAATAATGCCATTCACAGCAACATGGATGGACATAGAGAAGTAAGTCACACAGAGAAAAACAAATATCATGATGTCAATTATATGTGGAATCTAAAAAAAAAATGAGACAACTTCATTTACAAAACAGAAACAGAACCAAAGACTAAGAAAATAAACATATGGTTACCACAGGGGAAAGTAGGGGGGAGGGATAAATTAGGAGTTTAAGATTACCCTACATACACTACTATATATAAAACAGATAATCAACAAGGACCTATTCTATAGTACAGGAAACTTAATAGTCTGTAATAACATAAATGGGAAAAGAATCTGATAAAGAATGTGTGTGTACATATACATATATATAACTGAATCACTTTGAATCACTTTGCTGTACATCTGAAACTAATACAACACTGTAAATCAACTATAAAATTTTTTAAAGAAATAACTAAAAAAATTATGTTTACAAAAGCCTGTGTGAAAATGCTTATAGCACAAAAAAAACTTATAACATTAAACTCTAGTTACACTTACGTTTGTTTCTCAGTTTGACCTTTCTCTCCCTATCTGTAGCTATTCAGTTTAGGTTTTTATTTAGCATTGTCTTTGAAAAGAAACGACTGCTCACTAGAGGGATTCAGTTCAGTCGCTCAGTCGTGTCCAACTCTTTGTGACCCCATGAGTCGCAACATGCCAGGCCTCCCTGTCCATCACCAACTCCCAGAGTCTACTCAAACTCATGTCCATCAAGTCGGTGATGCCATCCAGCCATCTCATCCTCTGTTATCCCCTTCTCCTCCTGCCCCCAATCCCTCCCACCATCAGGGTCTTTCCCAGTGAGTCAACTTCGCATCAGGTGACCAAAGTACTGGAGTTTCAGCTTCAGCATCAGTCCTTCCAATGAACACCCAGGACTGATCTCCTCTAGGATGGACCTGTTGGATCTCCTTGCAGTCCAAGGGACTCTCAAGAGTCTTCTCCAACACCACAGTTCAAAAGAAGCAAATCTAAGATTTATTGGTCATAACTGGGTCAGGCTCATTTTTCTGTAGAACTCTTAGATCCATACAAATTAGAACAGGAAAACATGCAAAAATAGTATCTTTTTCAATTTCATGAATTAACCATTATTTTCTTGTAATAGTGAAATATTTTATTTTTAAATTGCATGTGTACACAAATATCAGAGGTATTTTTCCCAGAAATGGGATATCTGGGATATTTCCCAGAAATGGATAACTAATGAATTCTTCCTACAATCTGCTTTTGTTTTCATTTTAAAATCAAGTTTAAAGAATCAATTTCTAATTTAAATGCTTGTCTAAAATTTCAATTAGAATTGGAAATGATTGCACCATGAATTCTTCCCATTAACAATTTTTATACACTAGATTAACCTTCCAGTGTTAACTGGATTCTGATTTTAGCTGCTGTAAAATGTATATTTTTCTTAATGAGAGAATCTCCAGATTAATAGCCATCTAAGCTGAGCTCCCAAAATACTTTGCAAAACTGATAAGCTAACATTTGAGCATTGTTTTAAAGTAAAACAGATCAGCTCAACCCACCCTTTTAACAAAAAATTTTCTGTGCTTAGGGCAAATAAGGTCTAATACTCAAGGAGGGTGATATGAGTATTAGGGATAGGAATACTTGAAGAGAAATTGGAAAATTTAAAAGAGAAAAAAGCAGTTATCTTCCTCACTTCCTGACACTGTGAGGAAAATTTTCATGGTGTGTTTTAGTAAGAAAATAGAAAATGTATGGAATATAAAGCTTAGAAGTAATTATTTATGATAAGGAATATATAAGTAATCATGGTTATCTGAATACCAGACCACCTTACCTGCCTCCTGAGAAATCTGTATACAGGTCAAGAAGCAACAGTTAGAACCAGACACAGAACAACAGACTGGTTCCAAATCGGGAAAGGAGTATGTCAAGGCTGTATATTGTCACCCTACTTATTTAACTTATATGCAGAATACATCATGTGACATGTTGGGCTGGATGAAGCACAAGCTGGAATCAAGACTGCTGGGAGAAATATCATTAACCTCAGATATGCAGATGACACCACACATGGCAGATAGCAAAGAACTAAAGAGCCTCTTGATGAAAGTGAAAGAGGAGAGTGAAAAAGTTGGCTTAAAACTTAACATTCAGAAAACCAAGATCATGGCATCTGGCCCCATCACTTCATGGCAAATAGATGGCAAAACATTGAAAATAGTGAGAGATTTTATTTTCTTGGGCTCCAAAATCACTGCAGATGGTGACTGCAGCCATGAAATTAAAAGACTCTTGCTCCTTGGAAGAAAAGCTATGACCAACCTAGACAGCATATTAAAAAGCAGAGACATTACTTTGCCAACAAAGGTCCATCTAGTCAAAGCTATGGTTTTTCCAGTATGTATGGATGTGAGAGTTGAACTATAAAAAAAGCTGAGTACCGAAGAATTGATGCTTTTGTACTGTGGTGTTGGAGAAGACTCTTGAGAGCCCCTTGGACTGCAAGGAGATCCAACCAGTCCATCCTAAAGGAGATCAGTCCTGGGTGTTCATTGGAAGGACTGAAGCTGAAACTCCAAAACTTTGGCCACCTGATGCGAACAGTTGACTCATTGGAAAAGACCCTGATGCTGGGAGGGATTTGGGGCAGGAGGAGAAGGGGACGACAGAGGATGAGATGGCTGGACGGCATCACCGACTTGATGGTCATGAGTTTGAGTAAGCTCCGGGAGTTGGTGATAGACAGGGAAGCCTGATGTGCTGCTGTCCGTGGGGTTGCAAAGTGTTGGACACAACTGAGCGACTGAACTGAATTGATATAAATAATGCCAAGCCGTTTTTTTTCTTCCCTCTTTGATAAATACAAAAATGGAATATGTTATTATAGAATTATTTATAATTATAAATTATATAATATATAAATAATATAAATTTTAAGAAAGAAAGTGCACTGGAAAAGCAGATTGCTAACTCTGTGCTCAGATTCAAATATGTGTAACCATACTTTTATCTTTTCTTTTGTTCAGCTGGAAAGGCAGCTAATAATGCAGAATGAAATGAGAGAAAGACAAATGGCTATGCAGATTGCTTGGTCTCGGGAATTCCTCAAATATTTTGGAACTTTTTTTGGCGTTACAGCCATCTCTTTAACAGCTGGGTATGTTTGCTATTTATTTTAAAATTTTCTTCCATTTCTTTTTGTCTTTGCCATGATCATATTATTAAGTTGACCAAATAGGACTTTGACCTAAATAGTACACATATATGTCAACAAAGTAACTCTTATAGCTTAGTGCTTGGGGCTAACTCTGTAGAACAAGGATAGTAATAGTTAATTCTGCCTTTAGTTTCTTATTTCTCCTGTACCTTTCTCCATTTTACAATATTAGTAAGGGAGAGGATTGACTTTACGCAAAGCTAGGTCTCTACAAATTCATCTTCACAATCCCTAAGGGATAAAGATCAATACTTACATATTTTTAAAATGAATAATCTGAGCCTCAACATCAAATAAAGGTGAACAAATCATAAGCCCATACACCCTACCAGAGAACTACAGAATCTGAGGAATTATGAATAAGGAAATCCTATCTCCATAGAGAATTACGTACCTTCTGAAATGTAGGATATTCTTCCAAAAAGCGGGTAACTTTGATATGTATTTGCAGGTTTTTCTTTTATATTAATTCTTTTTTGTTCTTGGATCAGAGCAATTAAAGGGAAGAAGCCCGTCCTCATCTTGCCTATGGTTCCATTAGGCTTTGTCCTTGCCTATCAGTATGACATGGGCTATGGAACCCTTATACACAGAATGAAAGGTAAGTCTTTGATAAACCAGAGTCTCAATTTCTGATTCATTTTTCAGTTCAAGGATCCAGTCCTCCCTGGTAGCTGAGCTACCATTGACCAGTATTTCTGCCCCCTCTTACACAGCAATATGCTGATGTCACCTCAAACAGCTCACAAGAGCCAACTGTCAAGTGTTTAGGAATTTTGTAAGCTGTTTGTTAAATACAGTCATTATTAAAAATTAAATGATATAAACTAACACAACATTGTAAATCAACTATACTTAAATTTAAAAAAAATTGGGGTTTCCCAGGTGGTCCAGTGGTTAAGACTCCATGCTTCCACTGCAGGGGGCACAGGTTCAATCCCTGGTCTGGGAACTAAGATCCCACATGCTGCATGGTGTGGCCAAAAAGATAAAAAGTAACAAATAAATAAATAACTTAAAAAAATTAAAGTATATAAACTTACAATTCAATAAATTACAGAAAATAAATAGTTTGAATTATATAAGAAACATTAATACATACTCAGAGCTTATCAGTCTCTAGTTTTACTATTATCTATACTCTTAAGTTATGTATATATCTTCAAGTTATGTATATCTACTGTATCTGTATGGTGGAAATGAAGATACAATATATAGACACAATAAAATACAGATGCAACTCTTACTTCCATGACATCCCACTGGCATGTCAGTTTAAAGTTGGTCATGGTGGGAGTATTTACACCAAGGAAATCTGCAAATCCCAAATTAAGGCTTGACTTCCTATTTTGTTGATTGTCTAGATCAGGGGTTAATAAACTGTGGTCTACAGGCTGGCCACCTATTTTTGAAAATAAAGTTTTATTGGAACACAAACGTGCCCATTCATTCCTAATTTTCCATTTCCATGTCAGAGACGACTCACTAAAACAGATATCAAAGTGCCCACAAGCCTAAAATGTTTCCTTATCTGGCCTTTTAAGAAAATTTGCCAATCCATGGTCTAGACTTAAAAAAAAAATGATGAAGAAAATGTTAATAATGTATATTAGTCTTAAAAGTGTACTGTAAAAAGCCATCATATTGTGAATAGCATTAAAAAATTTAGGAAGTGTTCTAATATTTTAAAACTATTATCTGATTCAACAAAGTTCACAGCATTGTCAAACAAGTAAGTTCCAACATTTGTCCTTGTTTCAGTTTTGTCCTATTTATTAACATAAATAAAAACAGCAACCATCATTCATGTTGAATTATACTCTCTCATCAACTGTTATAGGTGAGCTATGGGTAAAAGAGTTCAGCAAAAATCAATAAAAACATTCTTTAAGGATCAATTTGCTATATGTAATTCATGATAAAGAGTATTGTATGTTTTATTATTTATAAATTATGTGCTACACATATTTCATATAAGCAAAATTTATAATAAGCTATGTACATAATAAGCTTATCCATATTTTTTGTTGTTTTGGGAAGCTTGCTGTTAAATGTTCACCAGTACCGTGCTGCTTTCACACTGAACTCTGGCTCTCACTGCCCTAGAAAATAGCACTGCTGACACAGATGCCTTTCCTGACCCAGAAAGACCCCAGGATATCCATGTCTTTGATTCCCACCACCACATACCGCTCATGATGATAACTATTTCCCTACTCCTGATGCCTTCAGCCCAGAGCATACTGGAAACAGAGTTTCCCAAGCCTTCATTTTTGACATCCTGTTCTCTCCTAAGCTGTAGGCTCACGACTATCCCTGAGGCTCTGTAGGGACTGATATGGTATGGGAAAGGAGAAGGTGCAGATTCCTCTGTAGGTATTGGAAGTAGGGAGTAAAACATTTTATTCACAGACTTAGGGAGATAGAGGGATTATATGTTCTTTAAAATTCCCATTTGACAGAGACAATAGTTGCAAAAGAAACAACTGATAAAAGATTAATCTCCAAAATATATAAGCAGCTCATGCAGCTCAATACCAGAAAGACAAACAACCCAAACAAAAACTGGTAGGAAGACCTAAATAGACATTTATCCAAAGAAGACATACAGATGGCCAACAAACTCATGAAAAGATGCTCAACAATGCTCATTATTAGAGAAATGAAAATCAAAACTACAATGAAGTATCACCTCACACCTGTCAGAATGGCCATCATCAAAAAAATCTACAAACAATAAATGCTGGAAAGGGTGTGGAGAAAAGGGGACCCTCTTGCTCTGTTGGTGGGAATGTAAATTGATACAACAAGTATAGCGAACAGTATGGAGATTCCTTAAAAAAAAAAAAAAACTAGGAATAAAACTACCATATGACCCAGCAATCCCACCACTGGGCATATAACCCTGAGAAAACCATAACTGAAAAAGACACATGGACCCCAATGTTCATTGCAGCACTATTTACATTAGCTGGACATGGAAGCAACCTAGACATACATCAACAGATTAATGGATAAAGAAGCTGTGGTATATATATACAATACAATACTCCTCAGCCACAAAAAGGAACACATTGAGGCAGTTCTAGTGAGGTGTATGAACCTAGAGTCTGCTATACAGACTGAAGTCAGTCAGAAAGAAAAACAAGTGTCATATATTAATGCATATATATAGAATCCAGAAAAATGATACTAATGAACCTATTTGCAGGGCAGGAATAGAGATACAGACATAGGGAACAGACTCTGGATACGGCAGGGGAAGAAGAGAGTGGGATGTACTGAGAGTAGCACTGAAACATATACATTACCATATGTAAATGAGATAGCTAATGAGTTGTTGTATAACATAGGGAGCTAAATGTGGTACTCTGTGTCAACCTAGAGGGGTGAGATGAGGTGGAGGGTTGAGGGGGGAGGTTGAGGGAGAAAACACGTACACTAATGGCTGATTCATATTGCTCTATGGCAGAACCCCAAACAAAGTTGTAAAGTAGTTATCCTCCAATTAAAAATAAATTTTAAAAAATCCCCATTTGAAAACAGAAGTACATTTTTCACAAAGATACTAGGTTAAAATGTCTTCTGGGGTCAGACGTTATTGGTATCACAGTTCAGTATATAGTGGGCTAAACAGTGTCTTGTGGGTTGCCTAGAAATTTATAGCATATATCACTGTGGAAAATGTATTCTGAGTTTTAAAACACTGATCTACAAATTAACTTTTGGAGTACAATTCTATTTTAAGATGAAAACTAACTGTACAAATTGATTTACTTATGTTAAAATTCATTTCAGTAACCTATTCAGTTTCATGTTACTCATCTGCTTAAGAATTCTTTAATCTGAGCTCAACTGTGTCTCATTGTTTATATGCACATTAGAATTCTCAGTGCCGCATACAAATTAATATGTAGTATTAAGAAATCTCAACTCTGTTATACAGCATTCACTTGATGATATTACTATTGAAGGGCAAATTTATTTTCTAGGAACATTTTGCTTATGTATTTTGGAAATACTTTTATTACAGGCCCATTAGTATAGCGTATAAAAGTTTAACTTCCAAGTTATGTTGTGGAAATGGAAATTTCTTGTTTAAAAAAAAAATTTAGAACCCACTAAGAAATTTACCATTTAAAAAAACATAGAGACTATAACATATAGCCCTGTTAACTAGTGATCACTCCAAGATACACACTTCCTGTTTAACTGAATTTATTATCAGCCATTCTGTTAACACATACTAAGAATCTGTCATGTGGAAGGTACTCTCACATGGAAACATCTAGTCTGTTATCAATAGCCTGCAGAATTACATACAATTTTATTATTATTTTTATTTACTATTTAAGACTGAGGGGGGGTAAAAAACATGTTTGCTGATAGTTGGAATGCTGTGATAATTTACAAATTGTAGCCTGCCCTGTTGGGTTTGGAATATAGATTAATTGTGTGTTAAAAGAGGAATACTTAAAGAAAACAATTGCCTTTATTCTCAAGGAAAGTATGTGGAATGTCAACAATATATAATTTTTCAAATATTGCTAATTAGTCTTAAAGAATAAAAGTTGGCAAAAGTCACTGGGCCCAAGATATTACGAGCTATTATTTAAAAGAGGACTTGTTTATAAAAATGTATATATATATATATATGTGTGTGTGTGTGTGTGTATTTATTTGGGATATTTATAAGTAGTTTCAAGTTAAAGATTAGCTTTCTTGAAAAATTAGAGATTTTAGTAAACTTTATTTTTCCTCATGTCACTTATAAGAAGGGGCCATAAGAAGAACTAATACGTGATTTCTCTGCCCTAATCCCCTCCTGACACAACTCAAACTCATCATCCTGACTTTCCTGCAAGGAACAAGCAGTGTTACTTGGTGTTGTTTCTCTTCTGTATTTAAAAATGCTGTCCTCTGTCAGATAAAATCTCTGGAATCTGATATATCTTACATATCTGATGTATCTTGTGTATTCATTACTGTATTTCCTTTGGGAGGTCGCTCTCCTGGGGACGGTAGGTAAGATATTTAGCGGTGAGATCTGGGGGCAGGCCTCCATACAGTGTTACAGCATGTCACTGGAATACAGCAAGTAGGTCTTCTCACAAAATGCTGATTAACCCTTTGTCACCTTGTACATTTCTGTGCTTTATTTAAGGTGAAGCTGAGAACATACTGGAAACAGAAAAGAGTAAGTTGCAGCTGCCAAAAGGAGTGATCACTTTTGAAAGCCTTGAAAAAGCAAGAAGGGAACAGAGTAAATTTTTCATAGACAAGTGAAATCATGTTTACCCCATCAAATCTCAAAAAACAGAATTGTTGACTTGAATCATGACCTTTATAATTTTTTAAATGCTTGCGATTTTGATATAATGGATTTCATTTTAAAACAGTAATCACAATGAATTTTGTTAAACTATTTTAAAATAAAATTTATACCATTCAACACAAACTCATGGAAGTACTCTAAATAACTTTAAGATTTCCTATATATGTGTATGTATCACAAACATCTGAATGTAACATTATAAAATATATTGTTCTGAATTTCTGAAAGCAAAAATTTCTGCTGCTCTCATTTCTCTGTCACACACACTTTTACCATCACATTAATCTCCCACAGATACTACTTTTATTTGGATTTTTAAATTGTGTCCTGTCTCCACATGATAGAAAAATACTAATATTAACTATTAACATGTATATTGCACTTGCTATGGCCATATACTCTCTGTTTTGCACAAATTCTTGTAACCATCCCAGCAACCTCATGAGGCAGGCATCATTTCATAGATGTGAAAACTAAGGCATAAAAAAACTGAATTACTTACTCAGGATTATACACAGACAGAACTGAGACATAACCTTAGATGGTTTGGCTCCCGTGTCTACACTCTAAAAGATCTTGAAAAACTTCTGCCTTAATGCATTCTGGACATGCAAAGAGAGTAGTGAAAGACAAAAGGCAAAAACATTCAAATAATGACTCAGGGTATAGTTGCTAGAGAGGTGGGAAGAAGGCAAGGTTAATTAGGATGCATACTTTTTTATTTCCACTCACCAGGAAATCTGTACTCATAAAATAATTATATTTATGCCATTTTTACAGGTGTAAACCCTACATGTGCTAATTTCAAAATATTTATTAAGACCTACTGTGTGTCAGGCACTGTTATAGGCACTAGGGCTACATGAGTGAATATAGAGACAAGGTTGCTATATCCTAGGCAGAGAAGTAAGTTCTAGCGAAGAGTAGTAGATCTGGAAAGAGAATCAATAAACATGAAGATAAGTTCATTTCTAACAGTGACACATGCAAATAGGATGATAAAAGAATGATAAGAAGAATGTTGGAGAAGCCTACTTTGATCTTGGACAGTAGGGACTGCCTTTGTGCAGAGATGACACTTGAGCTAAGACTTGAATGATGAATGAGGCAGTCCTGTGAAGAACATGAATGGGGACAGGGAAGGGATCCAGGCAAAGGGAAGAGCCAGAGGGAGGCCCTGAGACTTGGCATGGCCAGAGAATAAAAGAAGGCCAGGGAGAATACCAGAAAATGAAATCTGAAGGGAGAAAACAATTATGAATACAATGCTGCTACTCTCAAGCATAGCAAGATATAGTTTGAAACAATAATAGTTACAGAGAACTTAGGCGAGGTCTTCAAGGATATGTTGATTTTCTCCATGAAGACAAGGAGGTAAAGTGGAGGGGCATTCTGTGTAGAAGACAACTGATAAAAGGCAGGTCCATGCATGCCAAGTCCAGGGATCTGCTGCTGCTTGTTCTGTTTGCCTAGGGCAAGAAGTTCCTCACATGGGGTACTTGTCATGAAAGGAGCCTAGAGGCATAGTTCAACTCCTCAAGGACCTTGGGTGTAACACTCCATAGTTTGCACTCTACCTTCAGGGTGATGAGTATGAAAGAATCTGCACTGGGGTTTTACTGGGATCAGTCAGTTGCTGAGGGAGGATCCCAAAGCCCAATCAGGGAGGAACTGCAATGGTCACCTAAGCACTCGCCGGGGCCCTAATCTGTCTAAGATGTGGCTCTGGGAATGGATTCAGGAAAATGAAAAGGAATAATAACAGGCCGAGGGAGCTAGTTGGAGGTTTTAGAGGGAGGAGAAGGTGAGTTCCCTTCATTTAATCCACATGGATTATCTGGGGCCCCTGGAGAACAAAGGAAGCAACTAATGGGGAGGCATACTCATAGTCTAGTGGATATCTTAAGATTTAGCACTGGCTTATAGACCATGTCAGAATTGGGAATCATTAAGTCTTTCTTTTGTCATCTGACAAAGGTCCCATCTAGTCAAAGCTATGGTTTTTCTAGTAGTCATATATGGATGTGAGAGTTGAACCATAAAGAAAGCTGAGCACCAAAGAATTGACGCTTTTGAACTGTGGTGTTGGAGAAGAAGACTCGAGAGTCCCTTGAACTGCAAGGAGATCCAACCAGTCCATCCTAAAGGAAATCAGTCCTGAATATTCATTGGAAGGACTGATGCTGAAGCTCCAATACTCCGGCCACTTGATGTAAAGAACTGACTCATTGGAAAAGACCCTAATGCCAGGAAAGGTTGAAGGTGGGAGGGGAAGGGGATGACAGAGAATGAGATGGTTGGGTGGCATCACCAACTTGATGGACATCAGTTTGAGCAAGCTCAGGGAGTTGGTGATGGACAGGGAAGCCTTCCATGCTGCAGTCTATGGGGTTGCAAAGAGTCGGACATGACTGAGGGACTGAACTGAAGTCTTTCTTTCCACTGAAATTTAATCATGCTGTCCAAATACCCCTGACATGATCTAACCAGGGCTCCCCAAGAGTGGGTTCAGTCCCCTCTAAGGGTTGACTGGCTAAATAACTTATATGGGATTTGTGATGTGCAATATATCCAGGTCCTGAGCTCCTTCTGAACCACCAGGCCATCCATCTGTCTTGGTTTCTTACATTAGCATTGACCCCGAGTTCACTAATAACTGTTACTTGATAGAGCCTCTGCTAAACACACTCACATACTCATACTTTTTCCTTTAGTTCCTTCCTGTGTTCTCCAGGGGCCCCAGATAAGCCATGTGGATCAAATAAAGGGAAATCACCTTGTCCTCCCTTTAAACCTCCAAATGGCTCCCCAGCCTTGTTATTATTCCATTTGATTATCCTGAGTCCATCCCCAGAGCCAAGTCTGGTATGTGGGGAGGTAAAAATCAAAGCATAGCTATTAACTAATGGCTTTGCAAAACAACTGTATTAAAATATATCCTAATTGTCTTTTTAGTATTAATCACGATCCAAAGCTTTCCTCCTAATTTATTATTTACAGTATTCTTTAATTGAAAAGACAAACATTTGTGCCCTGATTCTCCTGAGCTGTTTCTTAGTCATATATCTTAATTAATAATTGCATTAATATATGCTTGGGACTTCCCTATTGGTCCAGTGGTTAAGACTCTGCACTCCCAATTCAGGGGGTGAAGGTTTGATACCTGGTCAGGGAACTAAGGTCCCACATAGCATGTCGTGCAGCCAAAATATTTTAAAAAATAATAATAAATACTAAGCCTCAATTATTAACTAGACATCTGACATCTCCAAATTCTGAACTACATATGGTTTTTGTTCAGCTAAATTACAACCACAGATTTTTGTGATATTACAAGAAGATTTGACTAAATTATTCTAAGAAAGTATATAAGGAGAAGGATAACAAACTATGATCTGAGAAGGAGGAAAGATTTAGAGCTTAAAATAATGGCAGCTTCATCCAATGTCTTTGTCAGTGATTAAGAATAAAGATGGGAGGGGGGTGTGAATCTCTTCAGTCCATATGACTGTCCATCTCTCCCCAAATACTGCTGTTTTGACCAAAGCAGAGACTCTCAATGGATGTGGTGGTTAAGTCATGATTTAAAGAAAATAAATATGGGTGCAGAAATTCTCTGCAGCAGAATGACCCTTCTTGGAAATCACTTTATAATAGTAAATATGGAGTTTATGACATCACAGTACCTGAGTATTTTAAATGTTTAAAATTCATATTTAAATGGGAAAACTGGGGAGTAAACTTACACAGACTAAAATTACAAATAAATAAAGTTTACATGGAGTTCCACCCAATTGTCTTTAGAGGTAATGTCTGTGTAGGGCATAGTACTTAACTGCACTTTGCACTGCAGTGCCCCAAATCTACTGAAAAGAGTTTTAATGACAAATACTGAAATGATCGTCAAGATCTTAAGGAAGGAGGGAAGACCTTTAGAAATGATCTTGTCTAAGCCTCCATTTTTACAGTTGAGTAAATGGAGGCCCTTAGTGATTTATATAAAGTTTCACATCTAGTAATGGTAGTTTGTTCTAAACATTTGGTATACCTGGGAGGATTTTTTCCCCCAATACAACATGCTGCCTGACTCTAAGAGAACAATGACAAAGTAAAAAAAAAAAATTTTTATAAAATCACCACATAAACTCTGTCTCAGAGCCTTAGAAGATGCCCGATAGAAGGACATGAGTTAGAAGAGATGGGGAGGAAGACTCAGGTTGCAAAAATAATCTACAACATAATGGGAATATGAGCAATCTGAAGTTGAAAATGTTTTTATAGATTTCAACAATTTTAATATTTATACATTCAAATTGGTTATTCTAGACCCTTGCCAGAACTATTCTGCTCCACTCTTCTGAGAAGAGAACAAACTCTTACAGAGAATATATTTTTACATTAGTTTTTTGAGAAAATATTTTAAAATAAAGCCTGTTACTCAGGCAGTGTGGTTCTTTTTGGCCTTGGAGTATCTCTGCTTGGCATGAGGGTTGGAAATGTTCCTTAGCTTTGGCCTTGTGGATGATTTCAGGAATCATTTCAGGAATACTTGCATACTACCAACTATCAATTTGCAGAAAGTAGTTTCTAATTTTCAAGGCTAACTATTTCGCATCCCTGCTGATTTGTCTACTGGAAACTCTGCGTCAGTCTTGGATTATGAAGGTTGGAAAAGAACTTGGGCTACAGGTGCACCAGGAAGCACACATTAACCAGGGGAAGAGAAGGGGAAACAAAAAACAAAGACTAAAAAATAAGAAGAGGACCAAGTATAGTTTCAGGAAGGGAGAGAGCTAATCCAAAGCCCTCTCACAGTACTGGCCTAGATGGGAGAACTGAGTTTCCCAGGGACAAAAGTCACCCATGGGATCCCTTCAAAGTCCAGTTTATTTTGCTAGGCTAACTTGCTCCTCTGGATACTTGGATGACAGTAAGAAGTATGGCTGGGGCA